AGGGAGGCGGGGACGAGCTGGACTGGTTTTGGGATGTGGTAGGGGGAGGGGAGATTTTGAAGCTTGTGAAGTCCACATTGATACCATTGGGCTGCAGGGTTCCCAAGGGGAATATGAGTTGCTGTTCCTGCAACCTTTGGGTGGCATCGTTGTGGCACTGCAGGAGGCCCAGGATGGACATGTCGTCTGAGGAATGGGAGGAGGAGTTGAAATGGTTCGCGACTGGGAGGTGCAGTTGTTTATTGCGAACCGAGCGTAGGTGTTCTGCAAAGCGGTCCCCGAGCCTCCGCTTGGTTTCCCCGATGTAGAGGAGGCCACAATGGGTACAGCGGATGCAGTATACCACATTGGCAGATGTGCAGGTGAACATCTGCTTGATGTGGAAAGTCTTCTTGGGGCCTGGGATGGGGGTGAGGGAGGAGGTATGGGGGCAGGTATAGCACTTCCTGCGGTTGCAGGGAAAAGTGCCGGGTGTGGTGGGGCTGGAGGGGAGTGTGGAGCGGACAAGGGAGTCACGGAGAGAGTGGTCCCTCCGGAAAGCAGATAAGGGTGGGGAGGGAAAGATGCCTTTGGTGGTGGGGTTGGATTGCAGATGGCGGAAGTGTTGGAGGATGATGCGTTGGATCCGGAGGTTGGTGGGGTGGTACGTGAGGACGAGGGGGATTCTTTTTTGGTTGTTATTGCGGGGACGGGGTGTGAGGGATGAGTTGCGGGAAATGTGGGAGACACGGTTGAGGGCGTTCTCGACCACTGAGGGGGGGAAGTTGCGGTCCTTGAAAAACGAGGACAACTGAGATGTACGGGAGTGGAATGCCTCATCCTGGGAGCAGATGCGGCAGAGGCAAAGGAATTGGGAATAGGGGATGGCATTTTTGCAGGAAGGTGGGTGGGAGGAGGTGTATTCTAGGTAGCTGTGGGAGTCGGTGGGCTTGAAATGGATATCGGTTTCTCGGTGGTTGCCCACGATGGAGACAGAGAGGTCCAGGAAGGAGAGAGAGGTATTAGAGATGGTCCAGGTAAAGTTAAGGTTGGGGTGGAAGGTGTTGGTGAAGTGGATGAACTGTTTGAGCTCCTCGTGGGAGCACGAGGCGGCGCCGATACAGTCATCCTTCTGCGCCCTCTCCAAAGCCTCCACAACCTTCTTGGAATGTGGCGACCAGAACTGAACGCAACACTCTAAGTGTGGCCGAACCAGAGTCTTTTAAACCTGCAACAAGACATCCTGACTCTTGTACTCAATTCCCCAACCAATAAAGGCAGGCATTCCATATGCCTTCTTTACCACCCTATCTACTTGTGTGGCCACTTTCAGGAAGCTATGGACTTAAACCCCAAGATCCCTCTGTACATCAATGCTGTTCAGAGTCCTGCCGTTAACTGTATATTTTTTCTTAACATTTGATCTCCTAACGTGCAGCACCTCACACTTACATGGATTAAACTCCATTTGCCATTTCTCTGCCCATATCTACAACTGATCTATATCCTGCTGTATCCTTTGACAACATCCTAAACTATCCATAGCTCCACCAGTCTTTGTATCATCTACAACCTTACTAACCTATCCATTTACATTTTCATCCAGGTCATTTATACACATCATAAACAGTAGAGGTCCCAGTACGGATCCCTGCAAAACATCACTAGTCATGAGCCTCCAGCCAGAAAAACACCCTTCCACCATTACCCTCTGCCTTCTATGGGCAAGCCAATTCTGAATCCATGTGGCCCAAGTCACCGTGGATCCCATGCATCTTATTATTAAATAAACATCTGAATGGGGTAGAAAAGCAAGGGACATTGGTGAACTAATCATTAAAAGTAGCACTGGATGTCGAAAAAACAATTAAAACTAATAGCAAAGAATTGGCATTTATTTCTAGACTTGGAGAATTTAAAAGTTTAGCCAAATTATGTTGAATTTGCAAAGGATGCTGATCACATCTGTGCTGTGTACAGTACTCCTTCCATTGCTTACCACTGACAGACAGTAGGAGTGGGAGAGCTTCCTGGTTCATCGTGTGATGGAAGTAAAGTTTTGGCCTCCCACTTATCATTATTCATAGACCTTATGTAAAATAGTGCACATTGCCACAGCAACTCATGTCCTTGAGTGAATGGGAACACAGCTCACAGGTCTCCTTGTTATAAAAGGGACTGAGAAATAGAGATGGAAGTGCAAAAATGTTTGACAAGGTTGGTATCCAGAATTGAAAGATTGCAGTCATCAGGAAAGTCTGAACAAATTGAAACTATAGAAGTTGACCTGATTGCGGTCTTGAAAATTATGAATGGATTGGACAGTGTCTATGTGGTGAAGGTCTGATTTTGACTCTGCTTAATGGAATGGGTTTGAAGAGAACTAAAATCTCTCCCATTGATCTTGATTCTTCCAGGAGAACCTGTAACTAGGAGCAAGCCATTGAGGCAGATACCTCGGAGAGCTATTCAAAGGGAAACTAGGTGAGACATGGCAGAAAAAGGAACATAAAAATGCCCTGAGAGGATAAGATGTATGACTGGTTTCATACAAGACCAACATTCATGAAAAAAAATGTTTGTACTAAACATTGATCTTGTTTCTGAATTAAGCAGGGGAGTGAGTGTTGTGTGATCCATCCCACAGTTGAATAACACTTACTATCTATTGCTGAAAGATGATGCAGGTTGCTGAAGCTTTAAGTCTTGCTGTTGTCAGGGCACAAGCAAGAATGCCAAATTTCACACAATTGCAACCACTAGGAGAAAAGGACACTGATTGATTGGTAAGTTGACTGATTGACCAAAGTTGCAGTGGAAAAAGCAATGGGTAACTATGGGGTCCCAAAGTTTGCCGGTAATTCAGATCAGGGCACACAAGGTTTGAATGTGTTCCTTTTGTTTGAAGAGAACACATTCCTGCATATCAGTTGCTTTCAGTAAGTATCAACATTCCATGTTACGAGTTTGGCCGATTATCTTCAATTGGCCATTTAATGAACTTGTTAACCAATCAGCACTCTTTCCTCCAAATGTGTAAATAGTTATGATAGTTTGATATTTAGTATTCTCACATGAGTTCTGATGAGTGCAAGACGAAGGGCTTTATCTCTCCTCAGTTCTGATGTGGACGTGCCGGTGTTGGACATGGAGTGGACAAGGTCAGAAATCACACGACACCAGGTTATAGCCCAACAGGTCTATTTGAAAACACAAGCTTTCAAAGCCTCAGTCCTTCTTCAGATGTTAATGAGAGAGGTAGTATCAGACACAGAATTTATAAGTAAAAGATCAAAGGGCTAGACCACTGATGAGGATGTACTAGGCAATCCTAAGATGCTTCTTTAATCATTTAGACAATGCCCAAATATAATAGTTCACTTCCCGGCTCACACTCTCACCACTCCAGCCGCTCCAATCAAGTAGGCCGCTGACTCATGAGATAAGTTTTTATAAGCAAAAACCTTACCTTCCTGGCTGCTACCTGGCTCGCGCTCTCGTCACTCCCGCCGCTCGAATCATGTTAAAGCTAAACAAATAAGTGGTTAATAATGGGTGTGACTTGTAATCTAAATTAATGACGTTCTAATCGGCTGTGTATTTGAATATCAGAGAATGTGTAGCAGATAAGGTGCTGCCATTAAAAAAGTGACTGTGATCCATTTGCATTTGTACAATTTTTAACACTTGGTGGTAACCCTTGTTATTAGTAAATAGCCACAGCTGCTTTTACAGAACTGAAAGACACAACATGTTAAGTAGTTCTGTAGCATTTGGATTTGTAAATATTAAGGCTATTCAGGGTTACATAAAAGATTAAATGCATAGTGTTCTCCAGAATTCCAGGAATGAAGTTATTCATGTTAACTGGCTCCCGTATAACAGTGGAAGGAACTGCAGTTATTTATACACCAAACCTATGATTAGGTTATCTGTTTGATAAACAGCACTTTGTTGTAGGTTGCATGTTTCAAGTCAGCACTCCAATTTTACACATGACAACACTTCTCCAACTACCATTAGTGTGGTCATAAGCATAGATTTTGAAAAATACCTATAGATGAAATTAGATAAAGCTTAATGAGCTATGTTTGACTGATAGTGGTCTGGAAGTGATAGAGCAAGATGTTGGATAGACACACTACACCTGTCATAGTCTGGGAGAAGACAATAATTGATTTACCTGACAATGAGATGGAAAAAGTGGAATAATACATTAAACCTGTCAGAGAAATGGACTGATAGGGATAATAAATCATATGTGGTAGAGACCAAATGAGAGGGATAATATATTAACCTTGTCAGACATCCTGGGAGATGGGGTGGTTGCAGTTAGACTTGCTAGAACGGCAGGAATAATGGGGTAATAGACTAGATGTGTCTGAAAGATGAAGGAAGATCCTGGAATTTAAAACAGAAAGCTAGCAGGGGGCAATGTTTAAAGCACTTGATATTTTTGACCAGTTCTATAAATACAAGATGCTGTAGCTCTGGGCTCTGAATAATTGGTGAACGTTACAGAAAAAATACCCCAAAAAATAATCCAATACACATTCTCAGAAAGTCAGTCTGGCAGGGTAAATGTTTAGCTTTTAGTTTTTAGTGGTTTTTATTGTGAGTAAGTGTGTGAGATTTGAAACTCAGTCATGTCTCACTAACCTCCTGGAATTGTAGCAAGTGGTCAAAAACTCCGCAGATAAGAGTTATCCAGTGCCGGCAATTTTCTTAACTTTAATGAAACTCAGCATTCTCTATGTTTAAAGAACATATGCAAAGATGCAATTCAGCTAGAGCTGGGAGAATGAAACAAAGATCAGCAAAATGTAAATTTAGAGAATTTATCATGTTAAAAATGTGCAATCTCACTAGCAAAAGAGTAGAGGCAAAAATATTGTGTTTTATTTTGTATCGGCAATGAATGGAGCGTAACTGTTCTAATTTCACAGATCTAACATTGACCCTTCCAGGACAGATACTGTGCCATCAGCTGCAGGTTAAAGCTTCCTCTATTCTGCACAAAGTGCAACAGCTTCAAACTCAGAAGTGCGCCTCCTAATGGTTCACAGTTGAAAATTCATCAATTTTCTAAATTTACATTTTCCTCTCTAAATTTACCTTTTGCTGATCTTTGTTTCATTCTCCCAGCTCTAGCTGAATTGCACCTTTGCATTTTACACAGGCCTGGCCCATTCCCGAACCTGTGCTGTTGCAGTCACCTGAGCCATCTTCCACTTCATCTGGAGGTCTAAGATGGACTGTGTCCGCAGGGATACTATGTACAAAATTCTGGGTAAGGGTGGGTAGATTGTACCCAATGCCACCCTCATCCTGATGGCAATAGTTGCACAGCATGATGCAGCTGCACATATAGACCCTCGGTATACAACACCACGTGTCACTATGTACTGAGGTTTTACCTGTCCCTGATGTTGTGAAGGATGGCCTGGCCTTGTTGCCATGGAGAGCTCCAAGTAGAGTCAGAGAGATGTGCAGCATGGAAACAGACCCTTCAATTCAACTTGCCCGTGCCAACCAGATATCCTGAATAAATATAGTCCCATTTGCCAGCATTTGGCCCATATCTCTCTAAACCCTTCCAATCCATATGCCCATCCAGATGCCTCTTAAATCTTGTATTTGTACCAATCTCCGCCACTTCTTCTGGCCGATCGTTCCATACACGCACCACCCTCTGTGTCCCTTTTAAATCTTTCCTCTCTTACCTTAAGCCTGTGCCCTCTAGTTTTGGACTTCCCTCAGCCTGAGGAACACTCCTGGTCCATTCACCCTACCCATGCCCGATTTGATAAACCTCTATATGATCACCCCTCAGCCTCCAACACTCCAGGGAAAATAGCCCAAGCCTATTCAACCTCTCCCTGTGGCTCACACCCTCCAACCCTGGCAACATCCTTGTAAATCTTTTCTGAACTCTTTCAAGTTTCATAACATCCTTCCTATAGCAGGGAGACCAGAATTGCATGCAGTATTCCAAAAGAGGCCTAACCAATGTCCTGTACAGCTGCAACATGACCTCCCAACTCCTGTACTCAATGCGCTGACCAATAAAGACAAGCATACCAAACACCTTCTTCACTATCCTATCTACCTGCAACTTACTTTCAAGGATCTATGAACCTGCACTTTCAAGGTCTTTTTGTTCAGTGACACTCCCCAGGACCTTCCCATTAAGTGTATAAGTCCTGCCTTGATTTGCCTTTCCAAAATGCCCACCTCACATTTTATCTAAATTAAAACTCCATCTGCGACTCCTCAGCCCATTGGCCCATCTGATCAAGATCCTATCTGAGCTAACCTTCTTTGCTGTCCACTACACCTCCAATTTTGGTGTCATCTGCAAACTTACTAACCAAACCTCCTAAGTTCACATCAAGATCATTTATATAAGTGACAAAAAGCAGTGGACCCAGCACCGATCCTTGCAGCACACTTCTGGCCACAAAAGCAACCCTCCACCACCACCCTCTGTCTTCTACCTTTGAACCAGTTCTGTATCCAAATGGCTAGTTCTACCTGTATTCCATGTGATTTAACCTTGCTAATCAACATACCAGGAGGAACCTTGTTGAATGTCTTACTGAAGTCCATATAGATCACGTCCACCACTCTGCCCTCATCAATCCTCTTCATTACTTCGTCAAAAAACTCAATCAAGTTTGTGAGACATGATTTCCCACGCACAACGCCATGTTGACTATCCCTAATCAGTCCTTACCTTTCCAAATACATGTAAATCCTGTCCCTCAGGATTCCATCCAACAACTTTCCCACCACTGATGTCAGGCTTACTGGTCTATAGTTCCCTGGCTTTTCCTTACCATGTTTCTTAAATAGTGACATCACTTTAGCCAACCTCCAGTCTTCTGGCACCTCAGCTGTGGCTATTGATGATACAAATATCTTAACAAGGGCCCAGCAATCACTTCCCTAGCTTGCCACAGATTCTAGGGTACACCTGATTAGATCCCGGGGATTTATTCACCTTTATTGCCTTTTAAGATATCTAGCACCTCCTCCTATACAATATGGACATTTTTCAAGATGTCGCTGTCTATTTTCCCATGTTCTATATCTTTCATATCCATCTCCACAGTAAACACTGATGCAAAATACTCATTTGGTATTTCCCCCATCTCCTGTGGTTCCAACACATAGCCAGCCTTGCTTAAGTCTCTCTAGTTACTCTTTTGTCCTTCATGTATTTATAGAATCCCTTTGGATTCTGCTTAACTCCATTTGCTAAAGCTATCTCATGTCCCATTTTTTGCCCTCCTGATTTCTCTCTTAAGTATACTTGTAATGCCTTTATACTCTTCCAGGGATTCACTCGATCCCTGCTGTCAATACCTGACATATGCTTACTTCTTATTCTTGGCCAAAACCTTAATTTCTTTAGACATCCAGCATTCCCTACACCTACCAGCCTTGCCCTACACTGTAACAGTAACATACTGTCTCTGGATTCACATTTCCCATTTTCCAGCCATCCCTTTACCTGTGAACATCTGCTTCCTAATCAACTTTTGAAAGTTCTTGCCCAGTACCATCAAAATTGGCCTTCCTCCAATTTAGAAGTTTAACTTTTAGATCCGGTCTATCCTTTTCCACTATTATTTTAAAACAAGTAGAATTATGGTCACTGGCCCCAAAGTGCTCCCCCAGTGACCCCTCAGTCACCTGCCCTGCCTTATTTTCCAAGAGTAGGTTAGGTTTTGCCCCTTCTGCTGTAGGTACATCCACATACTGAATCAGAAAATTTTCTTGTACACACTTAACAAATTCCTTTCCATCCAAGCCCTTAGTAATATGGCAGTCCCACCCTCTGTTTGAAAAGTTAAAATCTCTACCATAACCACCCTATTATTCTTACAGAGAACTGAGATCTCCTTATAAATTTGTTTCTCAATTTTCCACTGACTATTGAGGGGTCTATTGTACAATCCCTTTAAGGTGATCATCCGTTTCTTTTTTCTCAGCTCCACCCAATAACTTCCCTAGACATATTCCCAGGAATATGCTCCCTAAACACGGCCATAATGTTTACCCTAATCAATAATGTCATTCCCCCTCCTCTCTTGCCCTTTTCAATCCTTCCTATAGCACCTATGCCCTGGAACATTAAGCTGCCAGTCCTGTCCATCCCTGAGCCATGTCTCTGTAATTGCTATGATATCCCAGTCCCATGTTCCTAACCATGCCCTGAGTACAACTGTCTTACCTGTTAGGCCTCTTGCATTGAAATAAATGTAGTTTAATTTATCAAACCTACCTCATTCTCTACTTTAGAGATAACAAGGTGTAGAGCTGGATGAACACAGCAGGCCAAACAGCATCAGAGGAGCAGGAAAGCCGACATTTCGGGTCTGGACCCTTCTTCAGAAAATCCCTTCAGCCCTGGAACTGCTCAACCACGTCCTGAAGCAAACCAAGGAAGCCTCATTCTCTACTTTGTTCCTGCCTGCCCTGACTGTTTGACTTCCTCCTTTT